TTTAACTGTTGGTGGTGGAAAAGCACGCAGAAGCCAGAAAATCTATCCATATGGCTTATCCATTTATGAATTTATCCATTTAGCCTGAACAGTTGTCTGGGCAAATGCTGCAACTGACTTTCAGGCAGACTTAGCTGCTGTTTTGCAAATATCATCTTACCTTACATATAAATCATCTTAGCATAGTTTACTGTGCAGTTCTTTACTTTGTTTTCTTCCAATTAACAAGAGAACGGATTTCTGATCTGGTAGTATTGATGTTCTATTGAATTTACAAATCATTTTATTTTTACAGTTGATTTATATTGAAGGTTATAGTGTAGATTGAATGGACCCAGTTTAACGCTGACATAACAGCAGTTTCCTCTGGAGAGTTTTATTAAAAGGGGCAAGACAGAAAGGAGATCATCAAATAAGCTTTATGGTTACACTTTTGGGGAATTTATGCCTGCCTCTAAACCTCCTATGTGCTCTGATGACTGTCTTATATAACACTATTCACGGGTACTGCAGTGTTGCTATTAGATAAGCCATGTGTGTGCTGGGTTCTTTCCTTTCTATGCGGTTGTAATATCTTTCCCATGCTGCATATTTTCACTGGTGGTATTTTGGCCCAGAAGGATCATTCTGACTTATGGATCATTTAAGCCTAAACTTCACATGGTTACAACAAACCATGCACACACACATACACACACACACACACACCACTTGGATTTTGGATAGCCTGCTGTTTACCTATAACGATCATGCATTTTTTATGGGCCACCACAGAGACTGGAATATGTGCCACTGTGCTCATTAAGCAGTCTAAACATGTGGTGCGGTGACATAAGGCGCAAGGAATTGTGGTCACAACCTGACTGTGCACTCTTCAACATCTGGGTATCTATTCTTCTGATCATAGAAAAAGCACAAAGATCAAAGCATTGTATTTTTGGTATCTTCATGTCATCTTCATCTTCATTGGCACAGGGTGTAGCATACTGCAGAGCGGCTCAACAAAACAGGAATGGGTTTGAATGAATGTTATTAGGTGTGATAAGGCATCCAATCAAATCAGCTTTTAAAACTAAAAGTGTGAAAAAAAAAAAAATATATATATATATATATATATATATATATATATATATATATATATATATATATATATATTTCACACTTTTAGTTTTATTTACAAAGGAGTTACTGGATCTTACAATGATTTAGAGATTATCAAACAGAGGTCATGAGAGAGAAGTGTGAAGTGCAAATTTGACTGAGAAGGCTGTTCTAACAGCATGAATACTGCTGACTGTTGTGAAAATAAATTGGTTATTTTAATAGAGTAATGTAAATTTTTAATAGATTGCATGTGTCAGGATTTCTATGCAGCTTATGCAAATATAAAACACAACACCAAGACGGATGGGTGTGTGTCTTTATGCATCTCCTATCTGATGTGTATTTAAACGCTGGTTGAAAGCTTAGACCGACTTAGAAGCTTATGACCGACTAAACAAGCCTTTAGTAGCCACAACCAAGTTGTTCGTTCTTATTTGTTACAGATATAAGTCTGTTGTATTTAGTTCGTATTTGGCTGAAGGAGCCTATTTGTGTTGAAGTGGGGGGACATAAATAGATATCATTCTCAAAACCAGGTGATGCTTATTGTCAGGAAAATATTTTCTTATCCCTGCATGTGCGCACAATCTCACTGAATCCGAATTTGCATGTCATACCTCATCTTTTCATAGCTCTATTCACATCAGCACAGCGCATTAGTGCATGACCAAATGCAAAAAAAAAAAAGGCAACATCGTAACACATTGGTGTTAACCAGTTCATTTGCGTAGGTGCAAAAATAGAGCCCCTGGTGTCTCCCTCACACACAATTCTAGTTCCTGAGTATTTTATTCATCACAGGCCTGAATATGCAGAAGAACCTGCTGGAGGATTGTGTGTGTCTGCTTTAAAAACAGTTGCTCTGAAGAAGAGGCTGCCTATGCTGGTGTATTTTGAGCAGCCAGGGCTTGTTAGTTGAATGACCACAGTATATGCAGGACTGGATCCTTTACATAACACTGTAGCACTCAGTGGAGTGTGTTTCTGTGGTTTTGAATGTGCTCTGAATTCCTGATACACAAGGTTTATACTCCATGGCTTTGTTATTCAGCCTGCCTCTAGCCAGTATTCAGCACATACTGATTATGCCCCATCAGCCAGAATTTATTATTCTGGCTTATTTCTTCTCGGGAGAGAAGGAGAGAAGAAACAAGTGAACCAGGCAGAGAAGTGAACTAAAGATGAAGAAATGAGCAGAGAGAAGAAAGGCTGCAGGAAGGAAACAAGAGAAGAAAGGATCAGCAAGGCACAATAAAAGAAAGAATTTAATGAATGGAAAGAGAACTATAAGAATAGTATAGGTGAAAATAAGTTGAGTCACAAACAGTCACTGAGAAATCTACATCGGGAGCAACCTTTATTAGCGGTCTAACACTGGAGGGAAAACTACCAATCACTTATAAAGAAGGGTTTGTTTAAATGTGGGGGGAAAATGTCACAGGACAATATATTGTATTTACTAAAGATAATGCAGGGAGCCATGACTTTTATCATGACTTTGACCAGGATAAAGCGTTTGCTGAAGATGAATAAATGAATGAATGATAAGACAATTCAACAGAAGAATGCCAGATCGGCTTACACATTTTGGTAAATACAAAGAGGAAAAAGATCAAAATTTGCAGAACTTTGAAAAAACTGGTAGACAGTCACAGGCAAAGAGAAAGCCTACAGTATGTATATTTTATGATTCTGCAGCCCGCTCTTCATAGTATGGGGCTATGAGAAAGATCTAAAAGCAGAATTATTGAGATATCTGCCAAAGACAACTCTAAAAAAGAGCTGCAATTTCACTATTTATCTTGAAATGGATGCCAGAGATACTTTTCAGTCAGCTTTAGAAGGAGTCTGAGGCAAAGTATCTAGCCAACATTACAATTTTGGTTTGCTATCACTTCTTAAATGTACCACGCTATAAACATTTGTTTAATTTTGGCAAACCTGTTCATTATTATGTGCTTTGCTGCTAGATTTAAGTCTAATGAGGGTTTTTTTCTCTCTCTCTTTATTGGAAGACAAGATGGTACATGCGACAAATACTAAATGCTTGTGTTACAGAGAGGGAGACAGGAAATCAGCAAGTGACAGAGTATAGAAAAGACAAAAAGATGTAACAAAAATTTCATTATGATTGTAGGTGTTATAAAGTGTTTTATAAGGATATCTGCATGAAATCTAAAAAAGGGCAGAGAAAGCAGCTATAGCAATAACAATTAAAAGGAAAAAGAAAAAGAAATTCTGATGGACTGCCCCACATCTCCCCACGGCCTCAGCGAGACAGGCCCCATGATGAGTAGGTCAAGAAAAGACGCTGCCAGGCCCAGGGCACGCCCATTATCCCCACTCCCAGCGGTTGCCCCATCCCAGGCAGGCCACCATCCACACATCATGCTTACCCTAGTCTTTTGCATCTTTCAGACTGTGTTTATGTTAGAAGTTCATATGTCAGTACTCAACTAATGTAATGCATTAAAAGAAGCGAGTCACGCAATATGGAATTGGTCCAGCGAGGGCAGAAGATCAAGGGGACAATGCGTGGGCATCCAGGGCCCCCTCCACTGCATCTTACAATGAGATCACCCACACCCAGTACCCCAGGGGGGCCATCCCACCGCAGCCCACAGGGATACAAGGCTAGGTGAAAAGATTTGCTTAATGAGCCTTAAGGCATCAATCAACTTGCATATTTAAAAAATAAAAACAAAGAAAAAGAGAATAAGTAAGTAAGTAAGTAAGTAAGTAAATAAATAAATAAATATGATAGGCTAATAATAATAATAAGAAGAAGAATAAGAATAAGAATAATAAGAATAATAATGAAATATCATAAGAACAATGTTAATAACTAATAAGTCTAATGAGGTTTGAATTCGAGTCCTTCTTGGCTTGTCTTGCCCTTCTGTATGCCACAGTTCTTCTTCTGGATATTGCTGTGTGTTAATAAATAAATTAATAAATGATAATCTGACAAGTCATTTTTTTGTCTCTGAAGTAATTGATGATCCATTAAATCTAACACATATTAATGCTAATCAATAAAGGCAGTTATCAAAATTATATTCAGCTTCCTAGCAGTAGGTTTCTATAACATGAGTCTTTTATTTAATTAGTTAGTGAGGTATCTAGGTGAGGTATCTGTCTTTTTTTTCTTTCTGTCTGCACTCCCTGTTCTTGGCTAAATGTGAAGTGCAGTCCTTCCTTCTGTCATAGCTAGCTAAATGCTAACTAGCTAACTACTGACTAACTATCAATGTTACTTTAAGTTATAGCTGCTAGCTCAATAGCCCTTGGCTAAATTGGGACTTGACAGTGCTTACTGCTTATGATACGTAGATTTCTTAGTGGCAATCTTGAAAAATATCCATCTAATGATCTATCTAATGTAACAAAAATATGTTCAGCTGCATGGGCTAAAAAGTTCAATTATGCAGCCAGTTGCTAGATAGTGATATTGTGGTTAATACACCCTCATTAGATAATGTTAGCTACGTGTTTGCAAATTATACTGACCTGCACTTGAAGTTACTTTAGAAATATCTATTATGTTGCTGCTTTTTGCATTTTTTTTGTGCCCTTTCCCTCTCTGGTCCACTGGGCCACTTCTTGTCCATTCCTCAGTGCGTCTATTTTGCTTTCTGTTTCACCTTGCTTTTATTTACGGAAGCAGCTCTAGGAACTGCAAGACATGCCAGGCCACTGGGATTTCTCCTCAATCTCCCAATGGCCAATCTGGGCCTGAATATTTTATTTAGCATACATGTGGGTTTCGACACAATGGACAATTTTTTTGTAAAAAAAAATAACAATAATAATTTGTACTCAGAGCACTGCAATCAGAAATGATACAACATGGAAAGTTTCTATTTCTGGAGAATACCCCTGAGAATGCTCTGGGGTCCCTGGAGGACTAGTGGTTAGGCTTCAGAACTCTCATTACCGTGGCCCTGTTCGAGTCCCAGCCAGGGAACCAACCGCAGCCACTGGGGTTGCACATGACAGTGCACTCCCAGTGCCAGTCCCAAGCCTGGATAAACTAGGAGACAATTGCATCAGGAAGGGCATCTTGCCTAAAAAACTGTGCCAAATCAAATATGTGGTCCAATGATCTGCTGTGTCGACCCCTAATGGGAGCAGCCGAAAGAAGAACGACAACCCCAGTGAATGCTCTGGCTGTAGCATTGGTGGGGGGATGAAAGGTCTCATTAGGAAATGGGAAAACCCAATCTCACATGAATCCTGTTTGAAATCCTATAATGGATTTAAGCTATGTATAGAAGATTGACTGATGGATAGTATTGATTTAAGAGTCCAGATAATGGCAGATGATGGCTGAAGATAGGTGCCGGGTCTGTTGATGCCACTAATGAGTAGATGGATGTTATTGAACTGTAAATTGATTTACTATGTTTTTTTTTTTAGTCAAAGTACTTTCAGGAATAATCTGTGAAATGGGATATAGTATGGTTATGGATGTGGTGCAATAAGTGAAGGAATGATGTGGTTACATCAGGATTGCTTCATCTTAGGTCTGTTCTCACATATTTTTCTCCAGGTTCACCACACTCCTCAATTTAGTATAAGAACCAGGAGCTACACACAGCTACACAGATTCCCATGGCCAGTTGATATTTGTTGTAGTTGTTTACCTTGGGTTTTATAGGCTGCAACTGAGTTAGAGATGTGTGTGGGACTTTAATCCCACTCTCACACACTCTGGAAGGAACTCTGACCAATCCTCTTCATCCCTGTAGACAATCTTGACCAATTCTGCCTGCATGAAAGTAAAAATCACCTGCTCCAGCAACTTTATTGCCCACAGGATCCCAGTCCCTGAGTACATGTTTACCTTGAATTACTGATTGCAACAAATCTGCTTGTGATGCAAGGTGTGTGTCCACTATTGTACTTCCTTTATACACAGCACTGAAAACATACCATTGGATTTCACTTCTGCACTGATCATATAGTTATAGTTTCAGGCACAGGTATGTAAAACCTCTGATAAAGATTTGGATTAAACAGAAAGGTAATGAGGTTGAGTACAACTGGAGTAAGGCTATTGATCTTTTGGGGCATTTCTGACTTTTCTGTGATATCAAAATTTAAAGTTAGGGATCTTCGTGTAGCCACAGTCCCATATAAGTAATATTGATAAAGCATTATATTATTTTTAATAATCATAGCCAAAATAACACAGATGCTAACTTTACATGATGCTGAGGAACTAGTATATTCTTTCCTGCAGGCTAGATGGGACTACTGAAACCTGTAACAAACTGTATTCCATATTGTCTACAAAGTCTTGATTATGATGTTAAAAGCCCTTAATGTTTAAACGATGGTGTATCTTGTTGATCTTTGAAACAATATAACCCATATCCATTAATTCGCTCAATTGAATCAAGCCTACTGCAAACCTGAAAATCACCTCCAACTCAGGTTTTGGAAGTTGTTTTTCTTTTATCACTCCAAAGCTTGATGTAATGAAAGAGACTCGGGGAAATAATGAGGATCCACATGCAAGAGTTTATAAACAGACACAATTCAGATTTCAAAAGCCTTAGTCAAAAAAAAAACTTCCAGGTCATGCACAGGTAAGGAACTGAACAGCAATATTCAAAAGGTAATGGGTTGCAAGGTCAAGGTCACAAGCAGAGATCAATACACAGACTATCAATATCCAAACTAGGCAATGGTTATCCAAAAGCTAGAGAATAAAAAGCTAGGCAAGGTAATACACAAAACTGGCAACCAAGAAAAAACTCCAACTTCTCTCTGGGCCATAGCCCTCCAAGTCCACCAGGTAGTGTATTATGTTGCCCCGTCACTTGGAGTCGAATAATGAAGTCTACTGAGTTATGTGACCAGGGTCTTCTTGGGATAGGCAGACGTTCAAGGAAACCTGTGGGTAACTGAAAAAAGATATGTGATTATGCACAGATTGCACAAGAATTTACAAATTGCTTAAGCCATGTATGGCTAACCTTTTGGTTCGATTAATGCCTGGGGGTCCGTAACTCCATAACACAGGGAAGTGTGTGCCCAGTGCATAATGTTTTCTCACATGGCCTCTGGTACTTCTGCTACCTTCTGTTAACTTCACTGGTGGGCACTCAGAAGGAGTGGGGTCCCATTTAGGGCCCTCCTGAAGTCTGAGTTTGGGCATGATCATGAATATGGGATAGGGCAACTGCTTTTGCATTCTTGGATCCAGGTCTATAGGTCAAGGTGAAATTGAAACAAGTAAAAAAAAAATGCCCACCTGGCATGTTGTTGGATTGAGGCATTTTGCAGACTTAGACTAAGAATGAATGAGGGATCTGGATGATGAAAAATGGGGCACTAGTGAATCTTTCTTTGAGGGTCTGAAATGCTCAGTTGGCTTCACAGGGTCACTTTAGGGTTGTGGGTTTCTCCTTCAGAAGAGATGTCAGAGGGGCCATGACAGACTTGAAGGAATGGATAAAGCAGCAATAGAAATTGGTGAATGAGAGGAACCTTGTGAACTCCTTGCTGGTACGAGGCTGGGACCAGACAGTTACAGCTTCCATCGTTGACTCATCCATTTTTACCCTATGCTGATCTATGATGTAACCTACAAGCTTGGCAGATGGCTGGTGAAACTTGCATTTTTCCAGTTTAACAATTTATTTTCCAAGAGCTTTTTGAGAACCTGCTGCACAGGCTGAATATGTTCATTTTCTGATGAAGAAAAGATCAATATACTGTATCTCAATTTACATATTTATTCAAAAACTCTCTCGGAATTTAATTAATAAAAGGTTGAAAAACTTAAGGAGCATTAATGAGCCCATTTAGCATTGCAAGATATTCATAATGACCAGAGGTGGTTACAAAGGCTTTTTTCCATTCATCACCTTCTTTGATACAGATTAGGTTGTATGCATTAACGTAGTGAAAAAAAAACAACCTTTGTTGTTCTTATCTGTTTCCACAAATGAACAACCCTGCCACTGCATTTGATGTGGATGGTCTAATGTAGCCTTGATTTAAGGCTTCTTGAATGTACTCTTCCATGGCGTTTGTTTCAGGTATGGAGAGTGGACATGCATGGCTTGAGTGGACATCAATGGCACAATCCCAGGGGCAGTGCGGTGGAAGATTGGCAGCTTTCTGTTTGCTAAATACATTGGATAGGTATAAATACAGTTCTGGAGTCTGGATGTTTTATGGGGTATCTAATCTTTCAAACTGGGAAGAGTGACAAGGTAAAGAGAGACTGTTGGTAAAACAGTGAAGACTACAATCTGTGACCTCACCTTCCTTCCACGAGATCTTTCCCCTGTTATCCATGAAGCTGCCAGCGGCTCCTGAGTCAATGAGTTAAATATAAAATAGTTAGAATGTGAGCACCGGGACAATTTTACAGGTAACAGGGTTCTTTTATTGTTTATCATAGGAGCTATGACTTTTCTTACCTGTGACTGTAGACAATATTCTTCAGGGTTGCCTTAGGGTGCAGATGGCTCTGACTTGTCCTTTATTTGTGCAGTATATACATAGTCTGCATTGTTTACAGCACTCCTTTTCGTCTGCAGCCAGGCTAGCATGGGCTACTTCCATGGGCTCTTGGTCATGACTGGTGCATTGGTACGAGGAATATGTGGCTGGGCTCGATGGCTTTGGGCTTAGATGAGATTGTCTGGATGGATGGCTAGCTAAATGACCTGGAAGAGTGAAAGGGCATCATCATGACATGCTATCTGTACTTGTAGTACTTTGTACTACTTTGTTGAGGCAGAAAACCATTTTAGTGCCGGCCTTTGCTATCCACTTGTTCCCAATTCAAGGTGATCAAATACCTCCTGGAATTTTCTCTCGATCTTGTTGCTTGTGCAGAATTGCGTGATTGAAAGTTGCAGTGGCCTATTTTAGCACTCTTCCAATAAGAAGCACAGGGACCTGGCAAATCTTAACAGCTTCCATGGGGAAAGTAGAAGGCGTGCTGGCAAACATAATGGAACATTGCATGATAAAACCCTTGCATTTTTCCAGTGAACCATCTTATTTGTCATGTTTAACAATGAATTAACCAAGTGGTGTTCACCTGTGTTTGAACCAGTTTGAGTTGATTTATGCTTTGTGACATGGTGCATTCTCATGCTGGAATTATCCATTATAATATGGGTAAATTGTGGCCATAAAGAGATGCACATCAGCAAAAATACTCAGACAAGCTGTGGCATTAAAACTATTTGACTGGCAATAAGAAGCACAATGTACACCAAAAAACACTCCCCACACCATTTAACCAGCCTGAACCATTGGCACAAGGCAGGATGAGTCCATGGATTCGTGCAGTTGATGTCAAATTCTGACTGATGCCACATGATTGGCTGATTAAATAATTGCATGAATAAGAAAGTCTCCAGGTGTTCAGTGAGTGTATTTTCACCACTGACTGTAAAAGTATAGAAAAATAGAAAATATAAACTTTTGCATAATTAAAAGAATACCCACTAGTATATTACAAAGCAGGCACAAAGGAGTCATAAATAAACTCTATAATTTTGCTGATTTAGGTATCACAATTTTATTACAAACATTAGATCTTTTTTTCATATTTTAGTGCTGCCATGCTTTTAGCATAGAACAATACAGTATAAAATCTGAACTCAAAAAGAGAATAGGAAAAGCAGATTTGATTGTTGATGCTGCTGTAGTATTTAAGACTTTCATGCTGTTTTCCTGTAAAGAACATTCCTTACAAAATAGAAACACGTGTCGAACACAATATGGGTCATGTGCTTTTAGACAAATTGCTTCAAATGTGCAATGACTGCCAACTGTAGTGTTATGACAATAATCAATATAGCTTTCAGAATCAATAATTACACAAGGAAATAAACACACATGTACACATACTTGCAAATATTAAATAATGCAAATATTAAATAATGACCTTTAAGATTTTTTCAACAGCCCAAAGGCACACAGGTTTGTAAA